AGCCTACGCCGTTGCCAGCGACTCACGGCAGCCCAGCTCCAGGTTGAGCTGTTGTTCAGCATCTTAGCTGTGGAGGGCAGTGTTCACTGGCCCTCATATGTGGGATCCGAACCGGGGCCTTCTGGCATCCCAAGCGAGTTCTTAACCATCGCACCACTCGGCCGGCCCGAAACACCTATCTTTAAACCCATTTATTTCTAGCACTTGACCTTAAAAAACTAAAATGAAGCTGACCTTAGTGATGATGTTGTTTTTTTGGATTACACTATAAAGTCTGAGCGATTTTTATTAACATTCAAGAAAATTTCAGGTTGTCTAAATCAACATGTTCCCTATTCACATAAGAAGGCAGCTTTGAATGCTCTCCCAATCTAATTATCTTCTATTTTTCATCATATTAGGAAATAGTTATATTTTAAATATCAGATAAATAACAAAGCAGAGAGATGCTTCTCAAAATAGAAAATCTTAGATATTTGCTTAATGGTGTAGGATTCAGGAATAATATATTTTAGTATTCTATTTCTTGATAAATTATCCTTTGAACACATTTTCCTTTCATAGTTTGGAAAACTCTCACATTAAGATTAAAAATACTAATCCAGAGATAATAGTTATGAAAGATGCTAATTACCCAACATACTTCTTTTGAACCACAAATATTTTAACACCAGTAAGTCTAGAATTGGGACATAGTGTGGTAAAGGGTTGCTATTGTTAATACACACATATAAAATCTTCAGAATCGAAACTAGGGTGGTGGCATTGGTAAAATGGAGGGTTTGGAGGTCTCAACACAGTGCCGTCACAAAAATAACAAAAACAATAAATACATAACTACAAACTGACAGAAATAGCTCTGGGAAAGCTCTGAACTATAATGAAAAGGCAGCAGAAACCCTGCAGAGCTCAAAAATGAACAATGGTTACAGAGAAAAGCATAGGAAGCATTTTAACTGCATGTCTCATCCCCCAGTTCAGAAAAGCTCAGCATGAGAAGGAAACCCCTCAGAGGTATTTCACCCCATGAGGAAAAGGAGAGTGGGGAAACCCCAGTAAGCCTCACTGTTATGGATATTTGCAGCCTTTGTTACCGAGGACTCCCACAGTCTTCACCAACACTGGTCCCTATGAGGGAGATGCCTGGAGTCCTCACCACTGGCATCTCCTTCCTGGGACTGGAGCTGTCCACTGTGGTGAGATCTGCCTCCAGGGGCTCCAGTCGCTGCTGTGCCCTACTCTCCAGTATCAAGATGCCACAGCGCCTTACTACATACAGGACTGGAGCTGCCACTGCTTTGCACCCTACCCCTTGGGTCCCATGTCATGCTTTGACCACCATTACTGGGGGCAAACTGCTGCTTCTCTGAGACCTGCCCCAGACCCCAGGTTGGCTATAAACTTTTATTGTCAGAGCCAAGCTGTCACTGCTTTGTAATCTGTCCCTTTGCTCCCAACACGTGGCTTTAATGAGCTACCATAAGGGACATGCTGCTGTTCCATCACTTCCCCTGGGGACAGATTCGGGACTTTGACCCACCATCTCCAGGCTGTGCTTCTACTGCATCCTGCCCCTGGGCCCAAGCTACAACTGCATCCTGTCATCTCAGGACCTGTGCTGCTGCTGCATCTCTCTCCAGCCCCCTCCCACACCCCACCCCACCCCCACCCTATCCTTGTCACTGCAGTGAGTCCCAGAGACCCAGACGCTGGTTGCATAAGAGATCTGCACATGCCTGCACCTTAGACAATGGTGCCACTACCACAGCAAGTGAACCTGTGTCCCAGTACTCACGTGCTTTGGTAATTCCACTTACACTTGATCACAGGACCCTGGCTCCAATGTTGCTCTGAATGCCAGCATACCACACAAGGTGCCAAGAAGGATCCCTTCATCTAGAACTTCTTCCTATGGGAAAAAAGGTAAACAGAAAGACCCCAGTGACCTTCATCTCTGAAGATGCCAATAACCCTGGCTGCCACTGCCACCTCAGGACCTCTGCATTCTTGGCCAGAAAATAACCCCCACAGTTTGCGCCAAAGCTGACCCCAGCTGATGAAGTTTTACAGAGATTCCACTGTGCCATCTCAGGAAACAAGGAAACTGTACCCTTCCCAGCTGGATGCCTAGCAGCCAACTTCAGGTGAAAGTCTTTCCCTACCAAAGCCAATCTAAAAGTCTAAACGATGGCTGCTCCCTCAAAAGTACAGACATCAATGAAAAGCATTCAGAAACATGGGGTCGGCAGAGTGTCTCAGTTGGTTAAGAGTTAGCTTAAGAGCATGAGCTCTGAGCAACAGGGCCACCGATTCAATTCTCACATGGACCAGTGACACTGTGCCTGAGCTGAGCTACCACTGTTGCCACTGAGCTGCCAACAGGTGGCAGGATGGCTCAGCTGCTGAGAGCATGTGTGCCTAATAACAAGATTGCCTGTTGAATGGTGGGCTACACCTGCCCACAACTAAAAACTGAACTCAGCACCTTAAGCTGAGCTGCTGCCGGGGTGGCTCAGTGGATAGAGCGTGCGCTCTTAACAACAAGGCTGCTGGTTCACTCCCACATGGGATGGTGGCTACNCAATGATAATACCAACATGGGCCAGTGAAGCAATGTCCTCCACAACTAGACTGAAGAACAAAAGGACAGCAACTTGTCTGTTCCCCTTCCCCTAGTTCCCCAGCACTGTTCCCCTCCCCCAATTCCCCAATAAAATCTAAAAAAAAAAAAAAAGACAAATATCATGACTACAAAAGAAATATACAACTTTAACTTAGACAGTGAAGACACTGAACTTGTAAGAAATGCTGCTTACCTTGGTTCAGTCATGAATTGTAAGCCACCCAGTCTACGGTGCTTTATTTTAGCAGCCTGAACTGACTAAGACAGGTATATTTTATTGTATGTAAGTTATACTTCAATAAAGTTGATTCAAAAAAGAAGGCAATGAGCATGGTAAAAACCATTCTTTTCTTTCCATATTCTTCAGTTCATAAAGAGGAATTTCCACTAACACTTTTAATATGTTTTTGTGTCTCTTCATTTCTCACAGTATCTTAGACTCTTGAGATAAGATCTGATGCTTTCATTATTTCCAGTGGGGAGAACTAATTAATCAAAGGGAGCCAACAAATCAAGTGTTGTTTTTCTCTCTTGGCTCTCTACAGGAAGGCAAGCAAGAGGTCTTTTTTTTTTTGCATGTAGTCTCCACAGTTCTCCCCCAAAAGGGTTTCCATTGTAGAATTGGAGTTAGGAGAGTACTAAAAAACAGTTTTTTGGCTACAAATCCAATCAGTATTTTTCAGTACAGCTTTACCAGCAATAAAGCTAATATTTGGGTTCTTTCCTGGTTTCTTTATTTCATTCCCTAGAACTCAGAAATGAGAAGGGTGTCATTAATTACCTTTAAACTTTAACAAATAGGCTTTGATAATAGATTAGATGAGGGGGTATAGTGTAAGCACCTGAGAGTTGGGCTTTTTTTTTTTTAAGATTTTATTGGGGAATTGGGGAAGGGCAACAGCCAAGTTGTTGTCCATCAGTCTTAGTTGTGGAGGGTGCAGCTAGCTCAGCTCCAAGTCTAGTCACCATCCGGCCGCCCATCGGCAGCTCACGGCTGCTCAGCTCAAGGTGCTGTGTTCAATCTTAGTTGCCAGCCCAGGCAGGAGTCTAACTGGCATCCTTGTTGTTAGGAGCATGTGCTCTCACCAGCTGAGCCATCCTGCCACCTGTTGACAGCTCAGCGGCAGCTCAGCTCCGGCACAGCTTACTGGCTCATGTGGGAATCAAACCAGAGATCCTGTTGCTCAGAGCTTGAGCTCTTAACCAATTGAGCCACTCGGCCAGCCCCTGGGCTTTTTTTTATTATTATTATTGTGTTGCAAGTGTCTGGCTTAAGCTGTTGATTGTCAAAGCACCCACTTAAAACACGGCTATCTTTTTTTTTTTATAAAGATTTTTATTGGGGAATTGGGAGATGGGAACAGCGCTGGGGAATTGGGGGAAAGGGAACAGTCAAGTTGCTGTCCTTTTGTTCTTCAGTCTAGTCGTGGAGGATGTTGCTTCACTGGCCCAAGTTGGCACCATCATTGTGCTTTTCCTGGGCGAGGCACATCAGTCACCAGCTTCTGGACAGCCGCTCACGGTGGCTGCTGGCTACACACGGTAGCCCATGGCAACCCACTGCAGTAGGGGCTGCAGACTATGCTGTCACTGGTGACTCACAACAGCCCAACTCCAGGTTGAGCTGTTGTTCAGCATCTTGACTGTAGAGGGCAGTGTCACTGGCCCTCATACGTGGGATCCGAACCAGGGCCTTCTGGCGTCCCAAGCCAGCTCTTAACCAACGCGCCACTCGGTCGGCCCAAAACACGGCTATCTTTGAATAAAGATTGCCAGCTACTTCACTAGATAAAGAGCCAGGCTGCCCCCCTCCCCAAGTTTTCTTTGTTTTAGAGATCTCTAGTTGACTATTATTTGTAATTATTATTAATTTCAGATGTACAAAACAACATAGTGATTAGACATTTACACACCTAACAAAGAGACAACCCCAACAAGTCTACTAATCATCTGACACTGTACATAGTTATTATAATATCATTGACTGTATTCCCTATACTGTACTTTGCATTCCATGACCATATAGTTTTTTAACTATAGCTGACATTGAATATATTTTATATTAGTTATAGCTGTATAGCATTGTAATTAGGCATTGACATAATTTATGAAGTGATCCCCCCAATAAATCTAGTATGCATCTCACACTATACATAGCTTTTACAATATTATTGACTATATTTCCCATACTGTATGAGCATTTCACATCCCTGAGACTATTTTGTAACTACCAGTTTGTACTTCCTAATCCCTTCAACTTTCTCACCTCCTCCCCCAACAACTATCATTTTGTTCTCCGTATTTATGAGTCTGTTTCTGTTTTGTTCGCTCATTTATTCTGTTCTTTAGATTCCACATAGTGAGATCACTGGTTCACTTTGTAACTAACGATTTGGCCACTTGTTTTTTCCTTCCCACGCTTTAATTCCCACTCTTATATTTTACATTTGCCAATAAAGAATGAGCCCACAAAACCCTAGACCCCCATCCACAGCCCCATAAAAGAACCCCAGACCTGCACTCCCTCTTTCCCTCTCTCTCTAGCCATGACCTCACTGTGTGGTTCCAGCCATGCTGTGTACCGTCTAGGACTTGTGAGCAATAAACATACTTTTTTTCACATTCCTGATGGTTACTGCTGAAAGTGTCTTGCAATCATAGTAAAAACCACAAGGGCCAGTCCAGCCATAACATTGTTTCCAAAAGTAAAGACGTCTGTGGGGCTCACTGCGGGCCCATGTGAATGCCCTCAAGGACTTCTAGCCAAAAGCACAACTATCAATAGTCTGAGACCAGCACAAAACAGGGGATAAAGAAGAGAAAATTGTTGAGAATAATTCTTAGATTTATAGCTTGGGCATCTGGATATTTGTAGAAGCCATTTACTGAAAGGGGGAGCACAAGAAGAGAAGTTTTTTGGTAAAATCTAGGGCCTCATTTCAACACATAAAATTTGAAATGCCTATTTATAATCTCCAAGTGAAACAGCAGGACCTACTCATTTGGAACTCAGAATGCAGGTCAAACTGAACAGGAATTTGAACATTAGAACAGGAAGTCTGATTACTCATGAAAAAGTGATATCTTCCAGTAAAATTGCATTTCACAATCAGGTCATATAAAAACGCCTGTCAATTTTCTATTATATAGAATTTTGACGAGTCACTGGGAAAGAGGAAGGAGGATCAGTTCCCTTACAATTTATTATGTCTTTATTAGGCTAGAGAGCTACCAAAACACATGATCTCACAGATTATCTTACTCCTGTTCTCCCTCATTTGTTTTCTCTCATGTTTCTTAACGTTAAAATATGCCATCACGATTCTGACCATTTAATGCCAACTCTCTCCAGTTCTCCTAAATATACTCACTTTTCTCTGTGCCTAACCTCAAGAAAAAACTTTACTATCTCAGAGCTTGTTTGTATTTTTTTTAATTTATAGGTTTACATATTTTTTCAATATCCATCCAATTAAAATGTAAGAGCTACAGTTTAGAGCAGGGACTCTTAGGGATCTCACGGGTTCTCTAGCACCAAGAAAATAGTAACTACTCAATAGAAATATGTTGACTCACTGGCTGCCCATTTCTCTATATTTTATTATTCTGTGGGCCTTTTAAAAGTTTATGAAGTTTTCTGACTACTAGTAACTCCAAAAAAATATAAGAGGTAAAGCACACAGGAGAAATTTTCAATGCTTTGAGATATCTTAAATGTCTTACAATGAAAACTACCTCTTTGTTCTTTGGTAAGACCAAGAACTGATCTCTCTCAGTTCCTCCATTCATTTCTTTGCTCCTTTCATTTATTTTCTTTTGATTTATGGAAACTCAACTCAATCCAATTTTTCTAATTTGTCTTGGTCAAAATATGGGTTTCCTAATCTGCATCTACTTTATTAATGAAACACCTATCTTTTTTTTTTTTAAAGATTTTTTTTATTGGGGAATTGGGGGGATGGGAACAGTGCTGGGGGATTGGGGAAGGGGAACAGACAAGTTGCTGTCGT